GGGCCGGCAGCGGCTCCCGGTGGTGATCGCCCTGCTAACCCAGGACCCCTTTCCTCTCTGTGCAGGTTTGCCCCATCTTGCTGAAGGAAAGCTGCAGTATGCCCAGTTCTCCTTCGAAACGGCTGAGAGGTAAGTTCAAAGATGCAAGTGCCACAGAAACGCAGAGTGACTTGCCAGTGGAGCTGCGCCAGGGGAAGCATTCAACACGGGAAGCGCCAGGCAATGCCATCCCACGGCAGTCCTTAGCTGCCATCCCACGGCAGTCCTTAGCTGCCCACCTAGGAAAGGAAGGGAGAAGTCCACACTGCAGTTACCCTACAGCACCACTGCAATGGAGTTAACCCTAATGCAAGTAGCTCTAAATTGAGTCTGTTACCCAGTAACACATGAGTCTTTAGATCGAGATCATCATTCAGTAGCTGGCAGGTAGTCAGCTAGGCCACCAGAATAGTGTATAACAGGCAAAGTGTATAAAAGACGTAAGTGGAGCTGGAGGAGTTGCTCCTTTTTATGTAGTTACTCAAGATCAGGATCTAGGTCCCGAGAGGGCATAAAGGTAAGATTGTCCTGACTACTACATACCTTTCTCTAGAAAGGAATCTAAATTATAGTTATTTGTATGCAGTTGTGGGAAGTGTACTTCATGGTTTGTTTCTATTGTAATGTTTATTCATATGATACTTAGAACAGACACTACATACACCTGGTGGTTATTTGAAAGAGATTCTAACCAGCAAGATACAATTTATGAAGGATCCAGCAATGATATTATGCAGCAGTTACTTGAGATTATTCAAAATAATGTCCTACTTTTCCATGGGAAACATGTTAGCAGTTCAGAGACCATTAAAATGCAAACAGTTTTTTTCTGTAACCTGGTACAGCACTTGAGCTCTAGATGAAACAACAGCCACTGTTCTATTGGTCTGTAAAACAGCATTAAGTGCAGGCAGCAGAAAATAGGTGGGTAATAATTTACCATGCTTGTCTGTTTCAAATGAAGAGCATCTAAAGGCACATAATCTAGTCAATGACCTATCTTCAGCAAAATTGGGCTTGTTCTCCCTTGTTTGCCCAGAACATCAGGAGAAGCTTTAAAAATTTAATCCTCACAGCATTCTTCAGCTGATGCTCCCAATGTATGTCTACTTTATTTCACTGCTGTTAAGCACATTTCTTTTAGGACAGGTATATGTTTAAATCCCTGTTTCCATGGGAACCAAGTACACTTATAAAATGCACAGTTCTTTATCTTTTCCATTTAGTGGACTGTTTGGATTTGAGCTATTCAGGAGAGGAACAATCTGTTTTCACAAACAAGTGGGAAAAGAACAGGAGAAAACATTTTAACAAAACTGTATGTCTGAAGAATTGCATGTTTATATGTTAACAAGAATATCTGGAATTACTTTTTTAAAGCATGGAATGGAACCATTGTGGTTGTCTAATTTCACTCCCTGTATTTGAGGAAATCCCTTGCCTTGTTACTGTAGCTAGAGCCAGCACATTTTAGGAAAGCTAAAACCCCATGCAGAGTCAAGGCAACTTCTTGCTGTTAGGAAATTCAACTTTAGTGAAGTTGGGAGGCAAACTCTTGCTCCTCTCGTTTGTAATGTCCTTGCATCTTCCACTAAGACATGATACTGAACAGAATTCTGGTCTGGAGGGATTTGGCTCTCAACTATATAGTCATGCTAACTGAGTGCTATCAGAAGAGCCAAAGCAACTTTTTTTTCCAGTAATTTATTGTTGGTGACATAGGTCACTGAAGTGTTGCTGCTTCTCTGTGCTATGTATCCTGGTTGGAACATTATTTCCCACTTAAATAATATGAAGCATTACTTTTGATGTTCTATTTCAGCCAATACAGTTAAATAAAAAAAAAAAAAAAACTTTCCCACAGTTTGTTGTGAGCACCAAGATCTGGTCAGCTTTGAACTATAGGTCAAAGTATAACAAACTAACAGGATATTGCAGCGATCCAAGTCTAAATTATGTACTAAAAATACTTTCCCTGTTACACTACCTTGTGACTGTAGTAATTAAAATGCAGATAGTCAAGGTTAGCTGTTGAGTTAACCTTCCATGCGCACAGGGAGCAGAGCAAGCTGAGTTTACTTCAGGAAGAGCCCTGTGTTTGGTTAGCTGCTCAAGTGACAGTCACTACCCAGTGAGTCATGGTAGGGCTCCACCCACTGTACTGCAAACATCAAGATTTCACACAAACCTTACAACTGAGTTGCAGCCAGGGTCTCTAGTTCTGTTGTGTGGAACCACAGTAAAAATAGAAGCTTCACCCTTCCTCAAAGCACAGAAGGAGAACAGCAAGTTGTTCTGCTACAGCTTAAAAGAGCAGCATGTCCAACGTTTTCCACCATCAACTTTTTAACCCTTAGGATTAAACCCATGCGTTTCAGCTCTAGATGGCATCTGTCCACAGGTTTGTAAAGTCACACACCAAACGCTACTTCCTCTTTGCAGCAGGCTTAAGTATTCTGCCAAGAAACTTAAATGACTCAACTAACAAGGCAAACTTAGTGACCTTCATCCCAGTATGTGGAAATAATCACCAAGTGAAATTGTAATTCTGGCAGCAAGGATTTTTTTTAAGTATCAAATTGCAGGTAGCAAAATAAAAAGTTTGTTATTCTCAACAATATAGAACAATTAGTCTTATCTCCACTTTCCAAGGCTTACAACCAAACACATGGTTTATCAGTCACTGGACATACTGGGTCAGTTTGACACAATATACGTTCTAAATGAGGAATTCAGTGTAAACCTCTTGGATGTCCACAGAAGGCTTGACAAAAAAAACCATAATGTGTTAAACTCTAGAGGACAGGAATTAGCATTAGCAAGGATAAAGAACTTGTAAGGAAGAACAAAGGCTGTACTGAAAAGGGAATATATAGAATTCTGTTAAATTGGTCTGGGATCAAGTTTTTTTTTAACAGAGTAGGGCACTAAAATTAGGAATAAGCTAGTGATACTTGCTGACAAAACTGAGGTGTCACCAATACTGAGAACATTCCAAACCAGGAGAACTATGTGGATCTAGATTTTTTTTTTTTTAGTTAAAAAGTGTCATAATGTTAGGTCATGCATTAAATTAATAACTTTCTTGGAAAATTGGAGTTCAGCTGCAAATGACAGCAGCGGCAAGAGATTGGGGTGCTCAGTCACACTACATGACAGACACCAAGTATCAAACAAGGAATTTCTAACAGGAAAGTATTAATGTATTCTTATATTCATTCATTTATATGCTAACATGGGTACGGTCTGTATCAACTCAAGAAAGACAAATTAAGTTTTAAGTGGGCAGCTAAGTGATCAAAGCATAGACAGTGCATCAGAAGAAAGGAGATAAAACTTAATATGTTTAGTAAAATGAAGGCTACAGTATGATGGCTACCTGTAACAGATTATGTATAAATACCAGGAAAAGCATGAAGTAAGAACTTTAGTAAGGACAAAGGAGTTATATTTAGGTATAGTTAAAATGCAATTTAAGGTGTGGTTGGTCAAGATGGGAAAGAACTGAGTTTGTGATTCAGGAAACCCCTTCTAAGGTAAAATTAGTGAACACAGGGAACCAGAGAAGATGACAGCAATGAAGTGTATTACACACACCAAATCAGCAGCACGAACTTCTTTCCCTGCCCTGAGAAACACATAGTATTAACTTTTTTCTTCAGTCACATGGATTTAGAATGTCAAATTTCAATTGCTTTTTAGCTTAACCAGCAAACTAACAGTAACACAATACAGTCCGCAAGGACTCCCTTTAGATCTTATTCTAATCCTGGTTGCTACCTGTTCTGTGCAGCATCGATCCTAAGTACCCGATAGCAGTCATAGGAAACCTGACTGTTGCATGCTGCCTGTCCACTAATACCTCCTGAAGAAGCATCTAAATGGCGTCTGCAAGCCCTGCAGCACAATAGAGCACAGGGAAGCTAATTACCAGAAGGTATCTACAATTCCCAACGCCACCTCTTCTGCTGCTGAGACTGATCTGTTAAGAAACACTGGAGAATTACCAGCTCCCTCCTGCAATTTTAAGGCGGCATTTCTTCATGCTGGAAGCATTGATTTTGATAAGTAACACAGAGTACTTTCATGTGCTTGTGGGTTTCACGTGCATTTGCTCAAAGATGCAGACAAGCACAGTCTTACTACGCTGGGAAGATGTCAGAACAAAGTGTAATGCCTGGCTAATTAAGCTGCAGGTTGTCAGAGGTCACCATGCTCACTGAAAACCCACAAGGTTTCATTGCCTCTTTGCGCTGCCAAGAGATGCTTTGCTGAAACTCTGTTCCTTTGCTGAGGCTGACTGAGATGACATGTCCGAAAAGGGTCCAAGGCAGCAAGGTGGACTGATTTTATACATTCCTCCAGCTTTTCTACATACACAGTATACCCAAAAGGAACAAGAGAATAAATTTTAACAGTAAACTCTGTTCTGAATATTGTTATGTATATTAAGGAAAAGTTTTCAAGGAGAACTTCATGCTGAGGTAAAAACCCAAGATCAGCTCAACTAAGCCAGGATACAAAAAAAAACCCCAAAAAAACAACCCAAACATTATTTGAGCAATTAGATACTTGAGTGCTAGGAACTGGAAACAGATCCACTTAAGCAAGGTATTTTAAAGCCTAATACTTACCAGGAAAACATGCACATTGCCAGAAATAAATATATAACACGGTACTGTCTAGTAAAGTTGTACTCATTCAGAGAAGCCATTTAAGAAAAGAAAAAGGCTGAACATGTCACAGAGGATAGAAAAGTTTTATATTATATTAGTGAGGGCACTAATATGACTAAACATAATACACAGCGTATATAGAAGCGTACCCAGATAACTATCTATCTTGACTATTTAAAGCTAGACTTGGTCAAAGTTATTTGGAGCAACACATCCTAAACGAACAAAAAAAAGAAGTCCCCTAATAAATCCAAGAAGTCTGTGGTTTACAAATCAGTATCAAGTTAAAGCTTGAAATCCTTGGTGATGGCTTTTTGACTCCCAAAGCTTTCCCACCAGATTTTCTATAGAACTTCATGTTTTTAGATTTCCATAAGGTGGAACAATTCAAATAAAATACCTTTAGGAATTCCTATCTAGATTTTACAGCTCCAGAGAAGGAAAGCATCAGTCTCCTAGGTAATAATACACCCCAGGCTTCACAGTTAAGCAAAATGACACATTACATTTGTTTGCAATATTGCTCTTCATAAGAGTGGCCACTTAAATTTGAAATCAGGCATTCAAAATTCCAGAGTCAAAGTAAGGTTCACAATGTGCTCTTCACCCAGTAGAAAGAGACAGAACGGATGGGATCAGATACAGTGTTTTTAAAAGGACAACTATTTTTTTCCTACTCTAATTCCAAGCGTTTGTCACTGTGCTGTCTGGCGTACAACAAAATCTATGGATTGTGGGTTCTTCTGACACCTCTGCTTTGCAGTGAAGCTTTCTACCTAGGAAGACATAACCTCAGTCCCCTATGGCGTACCATCATTAGTCTTTGGGTGCTTGTAAGGACTGGCAGATTCCACAATAGCTGTTCTATATCAATGATCACAAATTAGTCTTCCCAGAATTTTGCATTCTGTGCACAGCAGCTTATTAAATAGCATAGCTATTCAACTCGTAGAGCATTTAAAATCCTTCTCCTTACTTTTTATCAGTTTTCCGAACCAGGAATGGCAAGTTTACTGCAGAGGAGAGCTCAGGGAAAGAATATTATGCTTTCCCCCCCCACCTCCCCACAACTTGTTTGCAGTATTGAGAGACTTACCCAGCTTTGCTGCTTGCTCTTTTCCTCCACCTATTTCAAGGCTGGCTTTAAAAAACACCTTGACCTGAACATTTGTGAAATAGTTAAAAGGCTGGTTATGAATATTAAGTTTGAAGAAGGGTTTTTATTCAGACTAATAAAAAACAAGAGCCGAGTTTTAACACTTAATTTAATGCTCGTGAGTCACATTCAAAGATATGAGAATCTTTGCTATACTTTAAGTTTTCATGTATGTTGTCCTTGCAATTAGAACTTAGAATTCAGCATTGAGTCACTGGTGGAATTCTAGAGATTGGAACAACCAGTATAGGATCTACAGATTTGTAACCTGAGTCCCATTCTTGGATTTATCTGACGAATTAGCACAAAAATTATTTTGGGGAACACTGCCTTTGCAGGCTTCTCTACCATTTCAGATTCATTTACCAAAATACACGTAAGGCATCAGAAATAGTCATTAGCAATGAGGTGAAAGGTTACGTTGTAGAAGAGGGACACTTTTACCTCCTCAGTACAGCTGAACAGACTTCTGAAGGTCATGTTATTAGCTGAGACTGTAAAAAGTTACAGCTCAGATTGGTATTGGCTTTCTTTCAGCTAGAACTCAATTTAATGTGAAGTAAGTTTGGGGGAAAAAATGGGAAGGTTCTGTTCACATGATTTTAGCAGCAGTACAGGGTCACAAAACAGAAAATTCCTATTTGATGACACCCAAATTTTAACCTCAGAGCTTCACAAAGTGTAGTTTTGCTGTGCTTTTCTTCTTTTGTAAAGATAGCAACTCCAATAGCCACACCTGTTCAGCCACAAATGCTTTTCAAGCCCTTTTAACCATGAACTCAGTTGCTAGTTTAATTCTCTGAACCCTTACTTTATGAGGGGCTAATGGCCCTCACTGGCCTTGCTTTCCTTTCCCAAAGGATCAGATATACACAGAAAATACCGTAACGTAAACTGCATCCACTGTCTCCTGCTCTGTCAGTACCCTGCTGAAGAAGGGCAAATACACCACTAATAAACCCATGACCATTCTGTAGTCCTCCACGGAAAAGCGTATTATGTGCAATACATGAAGCCACGCTCTCAGTGTGCTTTAACAGTTGGCGAAACACCCTGCAAGCAAGTTGGCAGAACTGGAGTTGACTTGCATGCACTCTTGTTTTCTTTCCTGATGTGGTGTTATCCCCCCTTTCAAATGGTGATTGGTTATACAATAAATGAGAATATTTTTTTCTGGACAGAAGCCATTCTTGCCATTGCAATGGAACTTTTATTTCAAATACATTCTTATAATAAAGCTGCATTTTGTTATACAAGTAGATAAACCCAAGAGATGAAAGATTCACGTATTCAATTTTAAAATATTGGGCTCAACTAAACTGCAGCCGTTCCCATTCATTTCCTAAACCATGTTAGGGATTTCTCAGGGCAATGGAAATAAAAATGTAATCCAAGTCATCTAGGTAATTAAATTACGGTCCAAGGATATTTGTAACACCACCATAGAAATGTATCTGCTCGTTCTTCAGGCTCTTTGAAGTGCAGGGTGGCAGAAGTTTCTTTATAAACTCAGAAGTTTTTCATTGAGAGCAATCTGTGACTGTGTGAGGTTTGCCAAGTAGGTTACCATCAGTAGGTCCTGAGAGAGGGGTAAAAAAAAAGTGATCAGAAATATTAACAAAGACAGTAGCCTATTAGAGAGTTAAATTTTTAACACCTGTAAAGCAGTTTACAATCAGCTACTAGAAATATTGTTAGTCCTGAAAGTCCTACCCTGAGGAATGCTTCCCTTGCAGGAAGAAGCTTTTGGTATTCCCAGAATATGAAACACTGCTTGTGAAATTTTAACTCTGAGTTCACCCATGTTAACCAGACAAGGCAAAGGGTATAAGCAAAATTAAAAATTAGTTCTGGTCTTGCAGACTGTGGGTGAACAACACATTCAGAAACTTAGCTTTCGCTTTCTAAAAATCTGTTACAGAAAAAAGGTACCGCACTAAAACCTTGTTCCTGTCCTGAGTGTTATGTAAGGAGATAGAACTTCAGCTCAGGCAGAGGAAGCTGGCAAGTCACCAGTTATCTTTGAAATCCATACTGCTCTAACCTTGGTAATTCATATTGTCCAATCGCTCTAAAAGAATTGGTGCTGGCTTTCAGATTACTTGCATAATTCCCAAGTACATTAAAACTTACTCCCTCATTTGCAGTTGCTTGCAATATTATTATGGTGAGCTCCTCCACACACCTTCAGCTCTTAAAACACCAAATTACTGACAAGAAAGGGCTGTATTTTCTATTTACATGTTTGCATGAAAAGATAGATTGTTCTAATCACAGACAAATTTGTGTATGACAGATTTTTAAAACTGCTGGCAATACACTGAAAAAATTAGATGATGAACTTACATTGATATTGCTGTTCAACATTGTCTCAAAGTCCTCTGGTGAAATCTTTGGCACCTGGTTAATAAGATCCATCAGGAATCGCCCAACAGTGTTGTCAGCAGCCACTTTGCCAGACTAAGCATAAGAAACATACATACACTTCAACGTGAGTAAAACGCAGTAAGTTTATGGCCCAGAAAGAAAGCATCAAAAGAAAAACAAGTTGCACAAGCTTACATCAAACTTCTCTGCTGACTCATAAAAATCTGGCCTTACCAATACATCCTCTGCATACTGGAGCACCATGGTCAGGGTATCCTGAATCCTGGCTGATGCTGACCCCACCTGCTGTAAGTCACTGGACAGGCCAATCACTCGATTAGGGCTAAAACAAGTCTTCATGATAAGATCCACTGAAAGCAAAAGGAGGATCGGTGAAAAAAATGACTGCCACAGAAAACAGCCTGAATCCTTAACTTTTTGAAGATTTTTATGACAGCTTCAGCAAGACAATCTAATTTCCAGTGGAATGGCAATTTTACCAGGGTAAAAAAAGCATTTAAGCAGTGTCACAACAATGGTTATAACCAAAATAGGAAGAAAACATTCACCTCCTATCCGCTCTGTATCATAATAAACATATTTCACTGTTAGAGGTGTGAACATCACGCCCATAGTTTTACCAGGGACTCCCATTGGGGCACTAGAAAAAAAAAAACAACAACAAAAACATTTTCAGCATGGACATATTTAAGGGAGGAAGTAATAGATTTCCTTCTCAATGATCTGTTATCACTGAAGTGTGACCATGAGTAGGCTACTCCTTCTCACCGAAATCAGCAATATTAAGACCATGAATAACTGAGGACAGGAAATTAGTCCTGGCATACTATTAATTGCTTCTTTTTGTCCAAGAATATTCCTAGCTGGTCTGATGTTTGTCAGCATGAATACATGAAGAGCTAAGTACTATCTTCTCAGCCACAGCTCCTTGCTTATAGAGCAGGTATTCTTCTGTCCTGAAATACTCCATGCTCTTTGAGAAATCACTTAAGGAACAAACATAAGCATGACAAAAATTCAACTACAAAGCATTCTCAACACCTTTATTATTCCTATTATTAAAAGTATTTTAAGTTCCTTTTGCTTTAACTAAGTAAGATGTCATGGAACAGCCTCCTTTTTGAAGATGCGCAGTCAAGAACCAGTAGGCTTTTGCTACAAAGAAAGGCTGGGATTTTATCCTTGAAGAGGAGAGCCAGTACTGGGAAGAACAGTGAGGTGGAATAGTTCCATTTCTCGATATTTAATGGCCATTGATAAAAATGGAAGGGGTTAAGGGGAAGGAAGACTTATCAAGATAATGCTGTTTCAATTATGTTTTAGCCACACTAACCCTCCAACTTGTACAAATAAACTGCTGAGTAATAAAGTCCTGTGACTACAGGCTAGCATTCAGACAGTGCGATGGAAATTAGTGACACTAATGCTAGCTATATGAATCCTGTGAAATGTCACTAAGATGTTCAGAACACTGTTAAAGTTAATTCAGTCGCAATTCCCCACCCTGATGAGGTACCATCTTATGAAAGGTTAGGTCTTTCAACTTACATACGGTGGTCAAGACATTCCAATGGGAAGTAAGCCATGATCCCTGGCTCACTGGTGTGTTTTAGCTGCTGCACAATATTGTCCAAAATGAGACACTGCAGCCCACTACGTTTCTTGTTACCCTGATGTGGTCTCTCAGTAATTCACATTTCTCCCCTCCCAGAAATGCAGCCTCCCAGAGTACCTGACGTAGGCTTTAATGCTCATGCGTGAATTCTGGAGACTTGTGTCCACAGTGAGGTGGATTGGATTGTGCGCTTCCCGGCTGTAATACTCATGGATCAGGACAGAGTGTTCCGTGATGTCATGACCTGTTGCATACCTTCAAAAGAGCACATGTTGATGAGCCATTCATCCAACATTCAAGTGCCTGATGTTTGATGATATTGGTATTTAACAGGTTTGTATCCTAAACCCCAGATTTCCAAACACTGAGCTGCAGACTCATACTAGCTACATGTTTTAACCAGGGAATTTGTAGTTTTATGGCCGGCTGTCCTAGAATTGTAGGAATCGCAGGCTGAGCATACACATGCCTGAAAGATGCAGAGGGCCAGTGTTGTAGTACCAGCCGTAAGGAGTCAGTACAGCTGACATCAGCCACCCAAGATTCAGTAACCTGTCACTATGCTCTGGACCAACTCTCTATTTCTGTGTGAGCCAAAGCATGCCAAACAAATTTGGACCAACCAGGTCCACAAATCAAACATCTCCCTGCAGGAGGTAGAACTTGTTAATCTAGCTCCTTTAGCTGCTCTGCAACTTGCTTCTCACACACAGAGCAAAACTCCTGTCATTAGAACTGCACTTTGCTGTGCCATTAAAAGGTTGTTGAGGAAGATTGCTCCACAAGAACAGAACTAAGCTATTTTGTAGGATCAGAGAAGCGTGAAAAGATTAATAAAGCTATCTATCCACACACTAAGACTCTGTTCCCATTGACACCCCACTGATCTTGCTTGGCATCCCACACAAGTACGTCCACCTTTTCTCAGCAAAGAACTTCTGCATGCTCAAGTTCTTGTCACTGATTCCTCCTGAGCCCTTCGGTACTTTAAACTACTGTTCGTGTGTTCTCCCTTCTTTCCAACCAGTTATCTGCCATGGTGCAGGTTGTGTTACAGGCGGCTAAGTTCTTCTAAGAAATCTGTGCAACTATTCCCTAACTCTTCACTTCTATGTAATACCTTTTCTAGATATAAACAAAACCAAACCCTGTGAGTCTCCAATACTGTCTCTTCCTATCATGAATTGCAGCAGCCTTACAGCCTCTGTAACAGGAGCTGCAAGATCTTACTGTCTGCTTCTCAACCCATGACGAGGAAAATTATGTGTTTCAAGTAGTTTAAGGGACCAACGCAACTGCTCGCACATTCTTGTGGAAGGAGAACTTACCAGCCCAAGATGATCTCGCTAGGAGACACCTTCTTGTGCAACTCATACATGTTTTTAGCAAATTCCATATCGACTGCCACCTGAGAAAGGGGACAGGACCAAGTCAGCTGGTTACAGTGATGCTTAACCCCTGGCGGAGGGCTCCACGGGCACGAGCCCTAACGCCGCCATCAGAGGGAGCGCAGG